AAGGTTAATTTAGTCAATTTATTCATTAATTAATGTCTCCTTAATATTTGCGCAATAACTTTAAATGCCTTATATTTCAAAATGGAGGGAGTAATATATTATTTTAATTAGGGTAATTCGGTTAACTGGCCGAATAAATAAAGTAATTCAGTTCGGTTTAAAGTTGGTTCGTGGCACGATAGTATAAGACGAATTGCACATTAATGACCGTCGGACAGCACAATAATAACAGAAGCCGTGCACGATAGTATAAGAAGAATTGCACATTAATGACCGTCGGACTGCACAACAAATTTTTTTTAATTGATTTTTAATATTTCAACTCAATTATCTTTTTTTATAAGATGTCGATTGTTTCAATACAACATTTAGCTTTATTTTTTTTAAAAAAAAACCCAAAATACTGAACCTATTGAACAATTTAAAAAAATTATTATTAGTAATTAGTAATTTAATATATATTTTGGTTTTATTTTTAATGTGCACTTTAACCCACACAATTGTGCATTTATTGTATCACTCATGTGCATCTACTTTTACTTTTATTAAATTACAAGATTGCCACATCTATTAAATTGCAATAAATTAAAAAATCTAAAATTGCATAAAGGCCCCTATGGTTCATCTAATTCTCACTAAACAGCCCCTGCATCAAAACATCATGAGCACACACATACCCATGGAATCGACACAATATCAACCCCAGCCTACCTTCCGCCACCTGCCACCATCCGCCCACTGCCGGATGCCACCACGGTTGTTGCTCATCCGGCGCCACCGCCCCGCTACCCACCGCTTGATGTCTGCAAAATGGCAGCTCCGAGAAAACGTCGGCGTGACCTTGTCGATCGCCAGGTGCATCGGTTTGCGGCCGCCGGCATCGTACTCGGCGGCGAACTTGTCCCTACGAGATTGTCCACGAACTGAAGACCTCCGATGATGGCGGCGTCGCAATGACCGTGGACGGTGGAGGTCCGGTGGCAGCAGGAGGGCGGAATCTGCTCGTGATGTTCGACGGTGACGGTGACTGTTGGCTATGGCGGCGGCGACGGGGCTGTTGGTTATGCCGTCGGCGATGATGGTATGGGGATGCGCGGCGCCGGTAATAGTGGTTGCCGGCGGACTCAATTTGTGTGTGTGTGTGTGTGTCGTGAATGTGCGACTGTGTGTGTGTTTTTCTACAAAATGATTGTGTGATGTGTGTGAGAGAGGAGAGAAGGTGAAAAGGTGAGTGAGTGTTGTGTGTGAGAGAGGGGGAGGGTGACGGGTGACTTTGAGGGGGATGGTGGATGTGGGACCCACTAAATTGGTATTATTTAAGTGACTAATTTACCTTTAATTTGTGATCAAATAAATATATTTGACTATAATATTACTACTTATTTACTATATTGTCATTAATGATTGACTATTATTTATTAAAGTTTGACTTGATCATGACCGGGATAAATCTAATGATTCAGAATCATTCTTATTTCTTTCATTGTACTTCATTCTCATTTGAGCGCACTTCTATATATATATATATATATTCCTCCAACCCTAAAACTCTTATCTTGCTACACAAGATAACTTTCAATTATATTCCTAATCCTACATACCATAAATAAGGAAATAGAATAATAGTAATAAGAAGGCAATGATATAATTAAATTGACGTTGGAAGTCGATCGTATTTCTCCAGAAAAGCCATCGCAAGCTCGTCTCCATCATCCTCCCCGGTTGAGGAGGATTCGCCCTCGAATCCGGCCAAGCTCGTCTCGATCGAGGTGCAAAGGGGCCAATTGCGTCATATGAACAACATCCGACATACGCACATGAGAAAGCAAGTGAAGAAGGAAGCAAGGGCGAATATACATGTTCTATAATTGCCCCCCTCAAATTTTAAACTTTTTACTATTTATATTAAAAAATTTAATATGCTCCCCTTTAAATTTACTTTTGCATCCCCTTATTTTTTGCTTTGAAATGTCACTCACTAGGCCAACTTGTCCACAATTGTCAATTAACAACTGAACACTTCTTTTATTTTACTATAATTTTGTATATTAACTAATTGAATTATCATTCTACAATTTAATTGGCCCATATAAAAGACTTCAACTCTTTTTTATTACCCAGGTTAGGGTTGGTTTTTTTTTACCGAAAATCAAAACCGAACCTGAACCGACGAGAAAATAAAGCAAATCGAATCGACTTGTGTGTAACGGTAACCAAAATTCAGTTACGAAATGTTATCGGTTCGCTATCGGTTCTGAACCCATTCTGTCATGTCTTTTGCCCCCTCTCAACTAATTTTCTGGTTTCGCCCCTAGAAGGAAGGTGTCCGGTGAGAGCTTGTCGACGATCTCGTAGGGCCCCATCCTACTGTCCGACGTGGAAACATACCACACAAAATCACCAATGTAAAAAACGAAAGACATACTATCCAATGACCCACACAACGCCTCACGTGTCTCGCAGCGAGAAAGGAATAAAGTCGGCGATGTCGGGGACAAAGAAACCGAACCGTGAGCCGAAGGGTGTAGAACAATGCAGACCCCCTCATGTAAAAACTCATATGTGTTAAGGCGCCCATCGTGTATCACAGACCGATCAAATTGTCATGGACGCCCCAACAAAAGGTGTCAGTCATTCATAGGCAAGATATCACACCAAACCTTGTCCTCATAAACCGTCCCAACAGAAAAAGACACCAATACTCGACGAGTGACAGTGACAGCATTTGCCCGTGGTATCCACGCAAGAGAATATGGATCTGGATGTGGCTCACTCAACAAACCAAGCTTCGTCACTGCCTCATTTGAGATCACATTGTCGCTGGCGCCAGAATCAATCACAAAACGGCACACCCGATCGTTAATGGTGCACGTGGATTCAAACAGTCAGCGTCTCAAGCCCTCATCTTCGGTAGCTACGTGGGGAGACAATAGCGACCAACAAAGGACCAACGCCGTACCGACGTCACCAAAGACATGTACCACGGGCACCTCCGGCTCCTTATCGAAAATAGGAGGGCCATCATAACCGCTGGTCTCAAGCTCCTCAATCAACAAACCCCGCGCCTCTTTTGCCTTAGTGCACTGCGCCTGATGATGTCTAAGTTCGCCGCAGGGAAAGCAGCGAAGCGCGCCAGGTAGCCGATTGTTGCCCCCAGTCGAGGGGCCAACCTCCACGTCCCCCCGAAGTCGTGCCGACACCTTGCTGAACAGTCGATGTAGTTGGTGTCAAAGCCCCATTCCCCGTAATCCCTTTCACCAATGGCGGCCAAGACGAGCCCGTTTTCCGAGTCTGGTGGTGCTCAACCAACAAAGCCCGTTGGTGTGCATCAAAAACCGTATCCGTCAGCGAAAAGATTGAGCATGTCCTGGATTGGACCACGTAGATCACCCATATAACGCGAAATCAACTGTTCCGACGTCTCACGCACATCAACACGGGTCAACAATAAATAAAATTCTTCCGTATACTCATCAACTGAACGCGAGCCTTGCCTCAAATTTTGAAATTGCTGATAAACCGAACGAGCATAATTAAAGGGCAAAAATTCATGTTCTAAATGCTTACGGAATTTAATCCAAGTCGAGATCTTCGGATTTCCCAGACGATGTCGCGTGCCTTTGAGTTGCAACCACCAAGCAGTGGCCCGACCACGAAGCCTTGTTGCAACTAACGCCACAAGCCTATCCTCCGGCACATCCTTAAAATCGAGCACGGACTCAACCGTCGCTCATCAGTCAGGAAATTTAGCTGCGTCAAGTCCGCCCGATAAATTCAGGAATCTCGACCTGGAAACTCTGCTCTCATCGCGATTCGCTGGTTCCATCCACTGGGCGGCGAAAATCTGGTCGAAACTGGGCAATGTTTGCCCGGCCAAACTCACGCTGCCGCGCCTCATCCTCCGGATCTGCCCATCCCCGCTGCAGCTGTCCGCCAGCGTGAATCCCTCGTCCAGCGCGCCCAAAGCCCCCGCCGCGATGGTGAAGATCGCCGCCATCAAAGCCAGCACCGTCGCGGTCGAACCACCCTCCCCGGCGTTGCTGGTCGTCACCCTCAAATCCCTGGTCGTCGCGGCGCCCCCCTCGACGACGCTGGTCATCACCGTCTCGGTCGAAGCCCAAGGCCCCTCGCCGTTGATTGCCTTCAACCATGTTATGGCCTCCGCGCTGCCAGCCACGGCCACCTTGTCCGTCGAAGCCGCCATCTTCGTCTTGGTGATGGTGCAACTCCGCGAACGGGTTAACCACGAATATGGTGTCCTCATAGTCTTCTTTGCCGGACGACGGTTGTGGCGATCGCTGGCGGGGCGCCCCGCCTAGTCCACGCCCACCACGACCACCGCGAAACCCCCCGCGCACGCCCCGGTCGTCGGCGTCACGGTTCGTCTGCAATTCCTTGACCACGTTGTTAAGCGCCAAACGCAAATCTACGATACCCGAAGAAAGACCCTCAAACCTCTCCATGAAACGCTCTTCCAACTGCACAAACCGACCATCGATCTGTTGAAACCGGTCGTGGAAGACCGCGTCACGTTGTTCGTGTGCGGCATCCTGTCTTTTTGGCGGCATCGTATGATCGTAGCTGGTCTGCTGGTAGCAACTGATGTAGGGAAACGTGAACGAAAGGGAAGATACACGAGATACTCTCATCAAACTCAAAACTCTTAATCGATTAATTCTTAATCTCCAAATACACGAGATACTCTCTCGTCTAACCATGTTTTTACTTGCTTGTTTTTGTAGGGGAATCCCTTGTGCTGCACTTCTGAATCATGTCACATTCAAACCATGTTTGATCTTGCATGAGCTCATTAACATCCTCTCAAATTAAGGCATCAGTAAACCAAAGCAGAATGTACACACACAACACAAGTGCTTGCTTGTAACTAAACAGAATCCCATTTATAAACAAAGAAGAAGAAGAAGGAAGGNAACAAAGTTAAATTCAACATAACTTCCGGTTAACAAACACACGAAAATACGCATCCCGGGAGAGAGAGCTCACTCATCAACAGCCGAAGCCTGAACGCACGCGCAAAACTGCGTCTTTTTACGCCTCTGCCCCTGTCCCGACCTCCCATACAGATAATCCCTCAGCAAAATCCTTCTTTTCCCCTCCCAAATCCTATTACTCCTCAAATCATCCATCTTCATCAACACAAACTGAACCCTCTGCACTTCCAACTGTACCCTCCCAATCTTTTCGGACATTCTCCGAGCCCTCCTCATCGAGCTCCCCTCGTTTTCCAAGTCAAACGAAGTTGACTTTTCCGAAGAAAACGACCTGTGGTGGTCAATGCTCTTCATCAGCCTCCCGTTGAGCTCCAACAGCTTCATCACTGCTGAGTCAGCCTCGTCGAGCTTCCCCTTGAGAGCCTCGCAGTCGACAAAAGCTTTTCCCCTTTTACCCTTCTCGATTGCCTCGAGCTTACTCTTGAGGTCCTGCACGGTTATCAGGAGATTCGAGAGTTTCTGCACGTCTGAGTCGAGCCTCTCTAGGACGACCCTCCTCCTCCTGCTGCTGTTTTTCCCATCCTTGAAGGACTCGCTCGACAAATTCGATATTTCTAACTCTGACTCATCCGGGGGCAAAATCGTAGTTTTCTGTTTCTTGGTCGATTCGAGATGGCGGAGGTCAACCGTTTTGGTTACTTTCTTTGACTTGCTGACCGTGAGCCCGACCGAGCCGCTCGACACATTCGATATTTCTAACTCTAACTCGTCCGGGGGAAAAATCGTAATTTTCTGTTTCTTGGTCGATTCGAGGCGGCGGAGGTCAACGGTTTCGGTTGCTTTCTTTGACTTGCTGACTGGATCGGAAGTCTCCCAGCGCTCGACCGTATGACGTTTGCTGCGGCCGTAAGGCGAGCCATCGGAGACTCGGTCGAGGATGATGTCTTTAGTGATCTCGGACATGGGCCCGTGTCTTTTGGGCCCTTGTCTTTTGGGCCCATTCTTGGACTGTAGGGACTCGAGCTGTTTTGTGGTGTCGTGTAGCTTGGATTGGAGATTGGTATTTTCTTGCAACATTAGGTTCTTCAGCTCAGATGCCGCCTTTGTGAAGGCTTGAAGCCTAACTGTGAGGCCATGCAAGTCGGTAGCCTGAGAAAAAATCGTACGGAAGCAGAAGTACATATTATTTTAGTTACAGATAATAATAATAATAATAATAATAATAATAATAATAATAATAATAATAATAATAACTAAATGATTGGAAGAAAAAAATGGGTTCAGCTAAGAAATTTAATGGGATAAGTACAAAAACTGTTTTGAGGAGTTCTCATCTTTAAACATAAGAGGGATTTAAGATTTAACTCACTTGTATACTGCACAAAGATTAAAGACAAAATTATATTTTTTGTGTTGGTGGTTTAACGTCATAGCAATTTTAGTTCCAAGGTTCCAACAATTCGCTTTTTGGTTAGGTGATTTAATATTTTGCGGCAACCTAGAACTGAAATTGCAACAAATTCTCAAATTCTCTAATTTTCCATTAACAATGTAAGTCCTGTAATTTAAAGTTTTGTTGCAATGCCAATCATGTAATTTAAATTTTGCTGCAATTTGAGGACTGAAATTGCAGCAAAATATTAAATCGCCGGACGAAAAGGCGAAAAGTTGCAATCATGGGACTAAAATTGCTATGATGCTAAACCAGGATTAAAAATGCATTTTTTGCCAAGATTAAATTATATATATCTGTGTCTCGGATGTGGAAATAACATAAAAAGTAATAGCAGTTGTATTGTGTTTACATCAATGCAATATATTTTATCAAGCTTAGTGTCGAAAAATACCTTCAGATCCTCATTTTCGGGATTTGGAAACTTGATATGTATGTTGGTTTGGTTCTCAAGAGATGATATGCATTCCTTCAACAGAAGAATCTCATGCTCATAACCAGCCAACTGAGCTTTAAGGCTTTCGTTTTGATCGATATAGCCAAGACACAAATCATTGAGCTCGTTAAACTTCTGCTCATAAAGAAGCTGACTAACAATCGAACACTGCAATTGACCAAAAACAGATGCAACTTGCATTTCCAATTCATTGATCTCGTTCATCTTGTTGTGCACCTCAATACTCAAATTTTCTTCATGGAGTTTTTGCGACTCATGCTCGTTTTGCAATTTCTGCAGTTCAGCTTCGAGCTTCTGACTCATTTTTGTTAAAAAAAAATTCTCCTTCCTCATAAGTTCATTATCTGCCGAGATTTTGAGAATGTGATCGTCTTGGTGAACTCGAGCCGTCTTGATCTCATTGTAATTAATTTTCAAATTTTGCAGACTCTCGTTTAGATCTATATTCTGTTTTTCTACTCGACTTATCTTCTCTTCTGCTTCATGAAGCTGCAGTGCCATCTCATTCAACAACTTCTTTCCATTTTCAATCTCAACACTTAACTGATCTCTGTTTGATGCAATAAACTTGAACTCACCCTCAGTTTTCTGTAGCTTCTCCTTGAGATTAAGATTTTCAGCTTCCGATTCTTCCAACTTTTCCTCTGTCAAGCTCAACTTTCTCATAAGATCATCACTGATTTCTCTAAATACCACAAATTGCTCATCCATAAAGATTTCGAAAATCAAAGAAAGGTTCTCTAAAGCCAACACTTTACTACATAGAACGTGATTTTCCTCTTCAAGGACAACTTTTTTTCGCTCCAAATGCTGGATATTATCCGCTAAGAATCTTTTCTCCTGTGCAATAAAGGCATTCTCTCTTTGCATGTCCACCAACTTCACATTTAACTCCTCAACAGTACTTAACAGTGTATTCCTCTCATGCTCTATCTCGTTTTTAACCGTCACAAGATTTTTCGAATCGAGTATTAATTGCTTAATCCATGAAATAAGGACCGACAATTCAACAGATGACCCCAGATTTTCATCCTCCAAAGTTTTGATTTCAGATTGTTGCTCGACATTCTTCTGCTCTAACTGTGAGATCTTCTTCTTTGAAAAACTGTATTCTTCCAGAACTTTCTGATTATTTATGAACAGCAAGCAGTTATTTTCTTTCAGAACCCGAGCAGTTGTGCGCAAGACGAACGTCTCGATTTCATTGCACATGGAATTATCAAGAACTTGATAGAATTCGTCTTGTAAAGCGCACATCTTAGCTTCGGCTTCACTTAACCTAGCTTTGCTCGTCTGAGTGTAGCTCGCATTTTCTCTCCTTTCAACCTCCACAGACATTTTCAACTCATCAAGCTCTGTTCGAGTGTTCTGCAGCTGAGAAGTCAGCTCATCTTTTTCATTCATCAGCCCAGCCTTCTCGTCTAGAAGAAACTGGCACGAATCTTCCAAGACTTTCGATTTAGCCATCAGAGCTTTAAGCTGGTGGTGAACATTGGAAAGGAAATTCTCGAGCACCGAGTTGTTCTTCGAGAGAATCTCGATATTCTTGTTCGTCTCTTGCAATCGTGATGCGAGTGCAGCTTTCTCTTCAAGAAGAGTTGAATTCTTCACAAGGAGCTGCTCGGCCGCAGTTTCTTTTTCTTCGGTCAGTTCTGATATGGTCCGTCTGAGATTTTTTACCTCACTTTCAGCTTTTTCAGCTCTCTCTTTCAGAGATTGTGCCTCGATTTCAGCAGTATTGGCTCTTTCATCGAGTTTCTCGATGCTTTTTTGATAGTCTCGAAGCTTAGACTCCTTTTCGGCTACTAAAGTGGCGATTATGTCCTTCAGGATGGATACTTCATTTTCAGCTTCCTTGGCATGATCAGTGAGCAGTTTGAAATCCTCACAGGATTTAGAAAACTCGGTTCCGATGTGGGACAAATTATCGAGAGACTGTTGGTACTGAATGAGGCCAGCTTCTTTTTCAGCCTCTACTCTTGCAAGTGCTTCCTTTAACGCTAAAATCTCATCAGACTTGCCTTCTTTATAATTACCATCTTTCAGTAATTCCTCCTCGGCCTCATCGAAATTCAAACCCCTTATGCACTCGACTGACCGGATACGATCGTTGAACTTCTTCAGAGTCTGTTTTTCAGTGCATGAATCAGACTCATCCATGATATCCCCAATCTGCTGCCATATTGAGAGTAAATCAAAACAGATAATAACAATAATAGAAATCATTTGAGAAGTTCAGACAAATTCTGTTTCATCTCTGATCATTATTTCTACAGAAAGAGTAAATGTGTTTTATAATGAACCATTTTTCAAACTATCATTAATGTCTAACTTCATTCTGTTTGCAAACCAACTTCAAGTGATTCTTTTAATTCCACATAACTATATAAAAAAAAAAATAATAATAACTATTCTATCGAAATCCCAAAGGCAAAAGGAAAACTATTTCAGATTTTCATTCTATCGCTAATTTTTTTCTTTAGCACAAACTTTCGCGCCCGAATCACTAACCGGGGTCGAAATCATAGGCGATTCTTCGCCAATCATCAATGGCTCTTGATTCGGGAAAGCCTCTGACATTGTTCGGTGGGCATGCCGAATGACACCTGTCGCGTGATCGTACCTCTCGGCCAGTGCACGATAAGCTCGATAAAACTCCTCAACCATCTTCATAAGCTCCGGCCTTTTCTTATAGTACATTTCAGCTCTCCTTGCAAACGAATCGGCATCCTCTTCAATCAGTTTTATCATTGATTTGACCTTAATGTCCATATCTGCCAAAACACACACAAATGGAAGAAAGAATGTTTGGCGGTTTTATTTCCTGAAAAAATCATCATAATTTCACGATAAAACGTGACAAGATACAGAAACAAGTGATATTTTATAAAAGTACAAACTTTTGATAACTGTGAGATTTTTTTGAGCACATGCTCAAAAAACGAGAAAGATATTCCTTTACCTGTGAGATTCTCCTGGAGCCATTTTGAATTTTTTGGGCTCATATGGCTATCCCACCACCAGGAATACATTCGTCTAGAATCCGTATGTGATAATTTTGCCATATTTTCAGCAGCAGAAGCAAATAACTTCAATTAAGCACCCACAATTCAATACTAATATCCAAAACTGAGTTTGAAATCTCCAATCCTTTGCACCTAATAAAGACAGCATAAATGAATTCAACAAAAAAGTAAGCAGTCTCCTCAGATTCACCTGTTCAAAGATCAGGTAATACATTGACAATAACAAAAGAAAAAATGAAACAGAACACAAAAAATATTATCCATTTTGAACTCATTTTATAATGTTCCCTTTCAACAACTTCACCACCCACCGAAGGAAAAAAAACACAGAGCTAAAACTCCTGATTCACGAAAATGAAGATCCAAATTCATGTCCAAACACAGGTCTGAAACTCGGGCCATCAAAACAACCCCATGATTCAAGCTCATAAAGAAGGATTTGTCTCAGACAATGTCACAATTCAAAACACATACAAACTACAAATTCGACCAAAAACAGCTGTCGAAAAAAAAAACACATGAAAATTTACATAAATTAAACGAAAAGGTAAAAACTTACTTGCAAAGGAGGAAAGAAAATGAAACCCAGAAATTGGATTGAGAAATTCGACCACTTGAGCTGCTTTTCAGTCATCTTTCACCCCATTATACTTTTTTTTTTCCGTTAGATCTTTCACACTGTCTCTCTTGTTTAACTCACTGTGAAGTAGATTTTGCCACTATTATCTGTATGAATGAGGTTTGTGCTGTGATTTTGCTGAAGCTGAGGATCTTCTGATCTGGCTTGCTTGGTATAATAATGGGGAAATTAAAACTGATAATTTCTTTTTTATGATATTATTAATAAAAATATCATATTTATAACATTAGTACTATTTTGGCCTTCAGACACAAAAACGAATAAATGCAACTTTGGTAAATTATTTTGGGTGGCTTGTTTGGTGTAATTAGGGTTGTTAAATTAAACGAGCAGCTCGTCAGCTCGACTCTTTAAGACTCGAATTCGATTCAGTTCCGGTCGACTCGTTTGATGGTTCGGCTTATTTAATGCTCGTTTGGTGGCTAAACTCAATAAGACTCGAAAATGTGATTTTTACGTAATTTTTTTTTTATCATTTAGCTCGTTAAAGCTCAATTCTTGCTAGTTAACCGTTAACATTGATAAACAATAGGCGTAATAATGGGAAAGATAAATAAGATATAAAAATTTAAGGCAACTTTTTCGACATTATTTTGGGTGCAACAAGTGTATATATGTTCACAGTTATTATTTATTTAATCAACTAAAAATATATTTTCATTTTATTTTACTTTTGTTTTATGTCTCTCTAGCCCTTTTTAGTATACAAATTAATAATTACTGCACATAACATTTAATTATATATTTATAACTGTTTAATTATTATTTTACTGTATTTTTGAGCATTGTAATGAAATATTATTCATTATATCACATCATTTTATATTAAATATAATTATTAATTTTTCTACTACATTTATTTCATTACTAACAAAATTTTTACAATGAAATAATTATTAACTATCCTAAAAAGTTCTTTAATCAATAAAAAATTGCTTAATCCTTCTCACGCTCTCTCCACTTAAATGCTCTTTAAGGGGGAAAAGTAATAATAACAGCTTTTTTTCGTAAAGCTGATGAATACAAATACTAATCATACTTGTCTTTTTTATATTTACTCGAAATATTGTCTTCAACGAAAATGACGTTATTGCCCTTGGGATTCACGTGGTTGTTTATTCTTAGGTTCGCGCAATTTTATTTTTTCCATAATGTTTCTCTTCACGTTGTAGTTTGTACTCGTGACTGCTGGAGATTGACAGCACAATAAATATTTGACTGGAGTCAATGAAGAATTATCTATAGATATAAATAATTTAAATTAATTCAATTACCCGAATTGAAATTTTTATAACATAAATAAAAAAATTTACAAATAGACCGACACTATAATAGTCTGGCGGATTCATACAAAAACTTGGGACCGATGAATAACTTTTCTTTGTGTTTGATAATTAAAATGTCAAGTATAGTAATACTCCCCATTCAACAATATAANAAAAAAAAAAAAAGGAAAAAAAAAAAAAGAAAGATATTCCATTGTCAGCCTTTGCAATGAGGTCTGGGGGCATAATCGGTAAGCACTTCACGAATGGCGTATGCTTTAGTCTTACGGACACGCTGCCATCTCAGGCTTTTGGAAAGTGGGGGGTCCCATTGGGCCTGGATTGGCTCGAACGGTGCTATTGACGTCCGTCCATTAGCCAGATGTCAATCAACTGGGCTATTGTCGGGATTTATGTAGGCCCACTTGAATCATGCACCAACATTAATAAGTTGCACCTTTTTCATTTCTCTCGCGAAATGAATCGCTGGCTTGGAATTTTGTTTTCACCTCCCTCCTATTTTTATTATTTATTATTTTGGTTTAATTGATCATTGATTAAATAAATATTATTTTAACTATTTTATTCATATTTTTTCATTTTTAACTTCATCTAATACAAAGAATCTCTTCATATCTCATCTTCATCGTTTCCCATAACATCTATTAAATAAAGTTAATATTGTCAAGAAAAAAAAATTCATAATTAGTGTGTTGTTTTTCAAAACGATAAATAATAAAAATAAGAAGGAATAATAAATAGTACTAATAGAGTATTTACTATTTACCAATATTTATTCACGAGTACGTAACCTATGCGATGTACGAGACAATAATTATAAATTGTGTATATCAAAACCATGAAAGAATATTGATAACTATAAAAATAGTTTTGAATATATTATTTTTTTATTTTATGGTATATAATATTTTAGCATATATGATTTATATATTTATCTCACCTTTTACAAAATAGTTGCCATTTTAGAGTTCCTATTTAGAATTATAATAATGACAATTTAACATATTCAAACATCGATGTCTCAAAAGCAAAGGATTATAAGAAAAACAGTGTCGAGGGGTGTCGATACCTAAAGGTGATGAAACTCGGTCTGCCGTGCTCGACGGTCAGGTCGAGCCCCTAGAAACAAAGGTCAATCTATGAGCAAAGGTGAAGGTAGAGCAAAGACATGTCAATAGTCCGACCTCAGGGTATCAAAGAGGTCGGAGCTCTAAACGTACTGAGAGTAAATAAACATTAAAATAAAGTCACTTGCAGCCAAATGATGACCAGTGAGACGCGTCCACCTACCCTGCAGACCTATGTGCTCTAGCCTCATAAAGTCATGTGCAACATTAGAATGTCGGTCATTCTATATTTAATGCTTGATGTAACCCGGTGAACTTTGACCGAGACAACCTTACTATACATAGTCCTAAGTCATATTTGTGAGGGGGGCCGAGGAAATTCTCGGCAAGGAGATATGTCCTTTATAACAAATACCAGAAAGTCATGATCAACAGTGATTAACACGAGCTCCGAGCTTATTTCCTCATATATTACAACTTACCCGACTTTGTTCCTACTAGATAACAGCTTGAACCTATGCATTAAAATTCCTTAATCCATTGTGAAATTTCTACCTAATCGTTGATCGAAAACACTAATCAACAAAAATATATTATTTAAATTTTATTCATATTTGAACATATTTGTTAATGAAATCTTGATCCAACCATTTGTCTATGAATTGTTGAACTAATAGCTCGACCAATTTAATACCAGCTCGATTATGACAAGTGAAACCTTATTTTACCATAACACATGTAGACATTTGGGCCTTCGTTTAACCCACATGATAATGGGCTCGTGATGTGACATTCCTATCTACATTGGATATCTTTATTAAACAGTTTCTAGATAATGTGCCACGCCAGACTCCCGATGTAGGATTTGGCCAGTTATGCAACCTTATCCATTATTCACAATAAAATAAATTATATTCAGAACTACATACATAAACTATATCAAGATAACTTTATTTATTTTTAAATGAAACTTTATGAATATTTATTAATCATTGTTTTGGTCTTTTCTTATACATAATCTGTTTAAATTTCCTCCCATCAATTAAAAAAAAAAAACATTGATTTGACAGTATATATTAGTGTTTTAAATGTCATACCATGTAAACGAAAAGTGAGTTTGGATCAACTCGGATCATTATGGTTCGAATCGATTCGGCATACTTGACGAAAGAGCCGAGCTCGAGATCGCTTAAAGCTTGTTTCATTAAGGAGTCAGTCTCGACTCAACTCGATAAGACTCAAAAAGAGATTTTTTATATGATTTTTTATACAATAACTCATTAAAGCTCGAGATCAGGTCATTAAAGTATGAACTCAATTTGTTAATTTTGTTAAACGAGTCGAACTCGAGCTAGATTTATGGCTAACGAGCCGAGCCCTGCTCGTTTGCAGTCTTACCAAAAATCACAAACACTGGTACACATTCCAATCTCTTCTGCCACCTATTTTATCGATTTTAATAAATATATATTAAATTTATTTTTACAATATAAATATTATATAAAATTACTTAATGCTAAAAATGATTAAAAATCAAATAAGAACTTAAACATGTTAAAACTAAGCATAAAACTTACAGATTAAGTAAAAACTGATAAAAATAAAAATAATAAATACAAAATAATAATAGTGATAATAATTCGGTAACTTTCAGATTAAATAAAATTGATAAGATTAAAAATAAAAAATACTAAATAGTAGTGGTGACAATAATTTGATCCTTTTGGTATTATATCCGGTATTGATTGATATAGTTGGTATTTTTAGGTATGAAATGGTAATTTTGATATTTTGCTAAAAGCTAATTTATAGGATTTTTTTAAAATACTGTTATATATACAGATTTCAATCTATACACTCGTGAGTCGTGACTACAGTCTACGGTCTCTCGCGCGTTTGCTTCAAAACGATGTCGTATTTAGCATCTCTCGTCCGCCGGCGAACGAGGCCTCTCGCGCTTCGTCCCAGACGATTTTCATCCACTGCTCCGACAATTTCAATCTGCCGGCCGACCGCGAGTATCGAGAAGATTCTGATCGCCAACAGAGGCGAAATTGCGTGCAGGATTATCCGCACCGCCAGGAGGTTGGGGATTCGATCCGTCGCCGTTTACAGCGACGCCGACGAGGACAGCTTGCACGTCAAGCTGGCCGATGAAGCTGTTCGCATCGGACCTCCCCCGGCTCGGCTCAGCTATCTCAGCGCCTCGTCGATTATGGAAGCTGCTGCTCGAACAGGCGCTCAGGTTAAGCATATAATTAATCGTGCTTGTGGAGCTTCTTAGTGATTATGCGCTCTTAATTTGTGTTTACAAGTTATCTCCAGATGAGTGGAATGTCTATCTGGACATGGGTTGAGTACGATTTTGCAGTAAGATGTAAAATACATGTCATTTCATTTTATTTACTGTCAGTGCTCGATTTTGTGTTTATCACGCAGCTGTATTGTGGTGAGATCATACTTGGGAATAATTTGTGCAGATTTTGTCCGTTCATGATTAGATACCAATCGCTTAATGTTTATGAATGCACTTTTTTAGAGTGGGATATCTTTTTTTGTGATAATTAGGCTATCCACCCAGGTTACGGTTTTTTGTCGGAAAGTGCCGATTTCGCACAACTTTGTGAAGATGAGAGTTTCACATTTATTGGACCTCCTGCATCTGCAATTCGTGACATGGGTGATAAAAGGTAAAACCGAAGGGCAATTCGTGTCCATGTCTTCATTTAAGCGTATTACTCCTGCTAGTTCTTTATACTTTTTTAATAGATGGCAATGAGCTTTGGCTACATGAATACTTAAAACAGATAGTTCATTTCTCTTAATACTCGAACAACTATCACAAAATAGTTGAATCTTTTAGATGAAACAAACTATATATGTCCAATCTCTAGTGATGGTTTCTGTTCCAATATGTGGATTCGTGCAGTATATCCACGACATGCCATGTCACAAATTTTATTTTACATCGTATTTCCTCCCCCTGGAGTACATGTATATATTTGTTTCACATTAGGGACCAAAGTTTCCTGATATATAGGCATTTATGTTAAGCACAGCACATGTCGACTGCACCAGCATTTTCCTCCACCTCTCTCCATCATAGATTTTATTTGTGCTTTTTGAATTGTACTTTATCTAAATCTAATGGTATTAGGCATGGTTTTCCAGTGCTTCAAAGAGAATAATGGGTGCAGCAGGAGTACCCCTTGTGCCTGGATATCATGGTGATGAACAAGATGTTGACATGATGAAAATAGAAGCTGATAAAATTGGATATCCTGTATTGATCAAGCCTACTCATGGAGGTGGAGGAAAGGTCTACAATTTGTTGGCTTTCTTTTTATTACGATGTGCTTATTTCAGGGGTAATTAAAACCCTCACCTTAGTTCAGTTACATGAATTTTCTTTCTTAAATTATGTTCTAATAGTCGTATTATAATTTTCTATGGATATGTTAAAATCTTCATTTATCACTCCCAGTTATATCTTAATCATGGATTTCACATATAAGAATATCCTTGTTAGGCCTTTTATTTTACTGTTAAAATATTTTTTAAGAGACTTTATGGTCAGTATAATTCCAGGTAGTTCACTGATGGCTCTAGACCTTAATCTAGTGTCATGCCTATTTTAGGGAATGAGGATTGTACAAAGCCCTCAAGACTTTGTTGATGCTTTCCTTGGAGCCCAAAGAGAGGCTGCTGCATCTTTTGGGGTAGATACAATTCTTTTGGAGAAGTATATAACAAAACCAAGGCACATAGAAGTCCAGGTATTCTTAGTATATCCTATCTATTAATAGGAATCAGCATGCTTTGGCCTTTATGTGATATCTGTCTGTGCTGGTCCTATTTTTCATTTATGTTATTATTTTTTCTGCTATTCCTGAAATCAATTATAGGGTGATTCAGTGATCCGCAATTCTGGATGTAACGGGCTAATATGCTGCAGTAGCACTAGAATTGGCTGATGATAACTGCTTAGGAGAAGTTACCTTCTAAATTCCAAGATAATGAGAAAAGTATTTCACTAATTGAAACTTCTTAGTGTAGATCTTTGGGGACAAACATGGTAATGTCATACATCTAAATGAGAGAGATTGCAGTGTGCAGAGGAGACACCAGAAGATTATTGAGGAAGCTCCTGCTGTAATTCTTCTTTTCAGAGATTTTCTCCTTAATTTTATAATTTGTGATTTGTCCCCGAAGATTACTCCCTAAGTTGAGACCAAAGTTCTGTACCTGCAGCCAAGCATTAGCAATGATTTTCGATCTCAGTTGGGCCAAGCTGCTGTATCTGCCGCCAAGGTGCTGTATGCGTTTATGGCTTTGTTATGTCGATCTGCACCTTGATAATCACTCCGGCTGTTGTAGTCGACTTCCTCTCAATAATTTCCTGTATTTCCTACAGGCAGTCAGGTATCACAATGCCGGCACTGTTGAGTTTATACTCGATACTATTTCTGGAGAATTCTATTTTATGGAGATGAACACCCGTCTTCAGGTGGTTTGATCTCTCGAAGACATGTCTTTTCTTATATATATGTTTATATCCTTCTAAGTGCCAATGCCTGTGCAGGTTGAACATCCTGTGACTGAAATGATTGTTGGCTATGATCTTGTAGAATGGCAAATACGTGTAGCGAATGGGGAACCCCTTCCAATCAGTCAATCTGAGGTGCCTCTGATGGGTAAAGTTTATTTGATGTTGAATCTTACCCTTTCCCAAATCTGACTGTATGCACACTGATATATAGTAGGTGAGTTTGAATTTCTCAAACTTGGTACAGGACATTACTTATAGATTTCCGATTGAATTGAGTCAAGACTGCATCATATGTGTTTTCGTGATTGTTACATCAATAAATATAAGTGTTGTTTATGATCTTACCCTCAGTACTGGAGATCCTTCATAAAATATCGTAATTCTTCAATCTTCACCAGCGGACCGCATGTGTGTGTTTTTACATGCTTGGAATTTAAGATTACTCGCTATAATTTTCAATTTTCCATGTTCTGCTGAAAATTGAGGGAAGTCGGGATCTTAGTTTATTGCACTCTAACCTAATTAGATATCTGAAACATTCATGCTGGCCTTCTGCATAAAAAGGTGTTACATTTTTTTTTTTTTTTTTTTTTTTTTGTAATANGTGTTAAGTTATATATGAGAAGAAAAAAATTGCTAATTTAATTTTATTATTAAGCTGACAAGGTTACCTTGTTTTGAACATCTGTTCATCTTTCATGAGTTTCACACATTTTTAGCTTTGACCTTTAGATGCAAAAAAATTGCAAAATTTATTTTAGTGCTTGGCCTTTTTCCATATACCTAGTTACTTTGAGTGCTCTATGTACTGAAACCTTTTTTTATTTTAATTTGACTAAAAGTAAACTGTATGGCTCCTTCATTCTTTCTGTTCATTTTTTACCTCTATGTAAACTCGTAACCTCATATGTCAGGTCATGCTTTTGAATCAAGAATATATGCTGAGAATGTCCCCAAAGGATTTCTACCAGCAACTGGGATTCTTCATCATTATCGTCCTGTTCAAGTTTCATCGGAAGGTACTGGAAATTAAAGGCGATTGAGGCCTGGTTTCAAAATCAGTATTTTCCTTTAAAATTTATCCAATCACATAGAAGCTATTGTTGCTGCTTAAACGAATGTCTGCATTACATTTCATATGGAAAACAATACCTGCATCTGCTGTTTTTCTTGGTATAGTAACTTTCGCTTATGACAAGTTCATGACAATGACCAGTTAGGGTTGAGACCGGAGTTGAGCAAGGAGACACTGTTAGCATGCATTATGATCCCATGATAGCTAAACTTGTGGTGTGGGGAGAAGATCGAACAAGCGCATTAATCAAAATGAAGGACTGCCTGACAATGTTTCAGGTACAGTGAATTGCGAGAATTATTTATGCAATTTTGTTGCAGGTAAAATTATTATTAGCTCGTTAAATACTGCTCAAGTTTTTTCACTGTCTTGAATTGTCTCTAGGCTTAAAAGATGCGATTCATTTGGTGTTCTACTTTGTGGAGCAGAAATATTTTCCTAATTTGTGCTTTTTATAAACTAATTGAGGATCACAAGATTGCATTTTGCTTTGCCATTGAGTAATACATTTTAGTAGTCCACCTAGATCTGATACAGCAAGCCATTTTCCAGACTCATGGACCTTCGTTTATTATTCTGCAAGAATCATCTCTCGTCTTTCTTCTATTTACTAGCACTGTTCACGAAAGAAGTAACTAATATTGGCAATTTCAAATATGATAAGCAAACAGTTTTTATAAACTAATGTGGACCCTGAGAGAAATTTTTACCTTAAAACGATAGTGATGGAATTACCATTTTACCCTATTCAGCAGCTGTAACTGTATCAACATTTCACCTCATACTAGCTTTGTGACTCTTCTAAACACCCAACCCTAGATCTTGGTTTGTATATCAATGGAACAGAATATGATGATAATAAGTTCCAACAGGTTGCTGGTCTGCCAACCAATATCGATTTCCTCTTGAAAGTTGCGAACCATAGAGCTTTCCAAAATGGAGAGGTCGAAACCCACTTTATCGAGACGCATAAAGATGATCTATTTATTGATCCGAATGACGAGTTATCAAATCGGCTAGCGTATACTGGTGCTTTACGAGGGGCCGCCATTGCAGCTGCTTGTGTTTGTGAAAAGGAGCACAGGGCAATGAGGGAAAATGCCCCTGGTAGTAAAAACTAGTGGAACCGAACCATTTTATCCTTCCTTTTATATTCCTTGGAAAAAGTTGCTAATCCTGTAATACTGGACAGGTAATCTTTCTGTATGGTATGCAAGTCCCCCTTTCCGAGTGAATCACAGTGCTAAGCAGACAATGGAGCTTGAATGGGAAGATGAATCTGTCAAGGCTGGCCTAAAACTTCCATCAGTACAAATCACTTATTTGTCTGAAGGGAAATATGTAATTGAGGTCTCTTTCAGTGCTATCCTCATATCCAACCTGAAATAGTTTTCAGTTTTGAATATTCTCACGATATTGCAAGTTTTAGTTATTTCAAAAACTAGTTACTATGCATTTTTCAGATGGGAGGAAGCAGTTCTGATAATCTCGAGCTGAAAGTGGCACACTTAAGGGGTCACGATTTTCGAGTCGAGCACGGTGGTGTAAGCATGACTGCCAGCATATCCATTTACCGGAAGGTGGACACGATACTAAACAGAGGAAAATAAAAGTTCACTCTAATGATTTTTTTTTTTTTTTTTTTTCCC